CTAAACAAAAGTAAAATGTATTTATCATCATCTGTATCTATATAAATGTACATACTATATACAATTATCTGTATCTTATATAGATGAAATTTTAATTATCTGTTATCAACAATTACGAGAATTGCGTTTATACGGCCTTTTATTCACTGTACCTATTCAAAAGTTATAGATTTAATTTTTGTATTAAAATTGTACAAACATTGTTTGATATGGAATCTATTTTCTCATTAAAAATTACGCTATTGTATTAGCTTTTTGCTTTATAATTTATCATCAAACCCAAATCAAATAGTAATATGTGTATTAGGTTTCTTGAAAAAAAGTCGATTGAATATATTTTGTAATGAGCTTAAGTCACGAGATGTTTATAAACGTCTGTCTTATTATTATTTCATTCATATACACACATATTATATAATATAGTGTCTGATATAATTACCCATAATGCAATTACTGTAAATTAGTTTTGGAACCATTCTCGACGACACCTGCTGCAATGGCGTGTCTAAAGATAATAAAAAAACACCCATATTCATGAATTCGTCAAAACCAAACATAAGATCAGGCGAGGCTCTAATCAAACATTCGCAGTTAAAACCTAGGTATATTAGTTTTAATTCTTACTGAAATGTTTCATGACATTATAGTACTACTTACCTAAAAAGATTTGTAGTTGAAATGTGCACTTTAAACACGAATACATTTTAATAAAGATACATGTTTTTCAATTATAAAATGTAATAGTTGCTTAAACAACACACACAATTGATAAAAATGTCTTAACAATCGGCACTAACTTAATTTGTTTTAAATGTCCAGTTGACAAAGATAAAATATAATTTATAAATAACGTGTGTGATTTATTTCAATTTATGTTGTTAAAATTAATAAATATACATATTATTAACTTGAAACATAAGAAATATGAACATATTGACACATGTATAATAAGAAAGTTCATGTTAAATCATAGGACATAATGTAACAAAAATATATCCTTCAATATTTGGACTCTCATATTATTATAATAATTCTATCAAAAATATAGTTTTTCCGACTTTTTCAGTTATATTTGAAATAGGGCTGACGGTATTTTCGGTATACCGTATACATTCCGGTATACCAGTATTTCGATGTACCGGTATTTTGAAATTATTTTGTTAAACGGTACCTATAACGTAAAAATTCTTAAAAAATGGTATTCACAAAAATATAGTTCCGATTTAAAATACATAATTTAGTGTGCTTGTGTGTATACCAGGTAATACTTATTAATTAAATACTATAATATTTGGAATATTTACATTTTTTTACTGTTACCACGAGAGTATGATGGTACATTATTGACTAGGTACTGCAGCTACATCAACCTAAAGTGTTATAAAATATACCTATCCCACGTTTTGCACACACAACATCTGAAAACACGTTATTCCGCGTGGACGTCGCACTGCGGTGTACACGCACGACGAACACGCATGACGTATTATATATATTGTGCCGGACAGATTTATTTTATCATTAATTCCTAACAAACGAGACTTGTGAGAATTCGTTACGCACCTGTCCGTGTGCAAACTTATCCGCGCGTTACAGAGACAATAATGCGACAGGGCCAAACAGTAACCGTATATACATATAATATATTGTACATGGGTACGCTGCAAGGACGGAAAAGAAAATATTACACACCACCACCAAGACGTGTGCAGCTTCCGACAGCCAGCGCCGTCGTGACGAGATAGACACTAGGGAGGGTCGCACGAGTGGTGGTTTGGGGGGGGGGGTGGATGACGCACGTGCGTGCGCGTTTTTCCACCTCGCCTCACCGTCGGCTGGAGGGTATTTTTGTTCAATTTTTTTTTTTTTTTTTTGACACGCGAGCCGCGGTGGAGGCACACGCAGAGTCTTGGATAAGGGGTAGTTCTATGCGGGGTGAACTTGCGTATGCCAAGTGTCGGGAGTGTACACGCGCGTCCGGCCCACACGTCGCTCACGCGCGCGCGTGCATTAACTTGTCCGAAAAACAGACGGACCGGATTACCTGGTCTTATACACGTTTGTCTGCGTATAAGCGCGACGCCCGTCATTTTACACGATGTGACAGTCGTGCGAGGAGGCCTAACCACCACCGCTAATAACACCGATATTAAAACCGTCACAAACACGGGCGCACGCGTGCGAGAGACGCACACGTACATAATATCCCATATAAATTGATACCCGAATCGTGTGCATATATATATAGTACGTCGTGTGTATACATATCGTATAGTGCATACGGGGACATATACATAATATATATAATATTATATTATTGTAATATATACGTCGTGTAGTCGTATACGAAGGCGAATAGTAAGCGAAAAATAAAACCCACTCCAGACGAGTGGCGGTGGGGAGGATTTGTTTTCGATCATTTTTTTTTCGCTCGGCGACGTTTCAATAGTCCACGGTAAAAAAAAAAAAAAAAGTCATTTAAAAACCAACGGAGAGGAAATCGGCGGCGGAATTCTATAAACGCGGCGGTGCACTGTGGCGGCGACAAGCGGACCGAACGGGCCAAAAAGAAGAGGGTGAAAAAAGACCTTATTTCATTCGTGTGTTTACTACATCTATATACATACATATAATATACTATATACATGTGCGTATAACAATTTTATACAGCAGTGGTGCACTCACACACAAACATCACACGACTCGGCGGTCTGGCCGTTTTAATAACGTACGCACGGAACACGCGTGTGTGCGTGCGAGCGCGAAAGGTGGTCGTGGCGCGGCGGCATGGCAGTGGCGATGGCAGCCGCGGTGGAGACGGCTGTCGTCGTCGTGGTTGTCGACCGAGGTCGTCGAAGGGGAGTAGGAATATTATTATTAAGTGAAATCGACCGAAAATCTTCATCATGCGGGTCTCTTGTTTTTTCGTTTTCGTATTATCGTTATGACAACAGCAGAAATCCTTTGCGCTCGCGACGCGGTTGCCGTCGTAATAGCCAGTCGTCCGCCGCGTGTATAACAATACATTATAATATTATATTATATATAGTATATATTCATATATACATATACGCATATACATATACACGTGTATACATACGACGTATCACGTATACGTATATAATATACGGTTTACACCAGTTTATATTATGTGATATATACGCATATTATATATTATTATACCGTATAATAAACACACACACTCGTATAGAATGCGATGATGATGATGATGATGATAATATAGTCGTCGCAGCTGCATTATTTGCGGCCGCGCGGAATTCAATTCTCCCGGTCAACCCCTTCGTGCGCGTCGCCCTATCGCGAATAACCGGCACGCGTGGCGGTGATAACTGCAAAGCGAAGATTTAAAGGCGGCGGCGGCGGCGGCGTCGTGGCGGATACGACGAAAACTCCGTAGGTACCCACGTTGAAATATAATAATAATAATATTATAAACACCTTTCGCCACGGGAGTATTGTAATCATAATAATAATTTTACATGATGTTGTACACTTGTACGTGGTTTTTCCTGTACAATAATTCCCATGTTCTCTTTGCATCCCCTAATGCAGTATCTCAGACGAGTGCTCGTCCCGTTGTTCGTCAGCGCATCGAATAATAGACGGCTTTCTGTAGACATTTGCCTCTCGCGGCTGTCGCCAAATCGATTTGTCCGTATTTCATTTTCGCATGCGACATTACGACCACCAAATTATATGAAACACAATATAATAATATAATATCGTACACTAGCCCAGTGGCGAGCGGTGGGTGGTCCAATATTTAGTTTATTTGTATAATTGTATCGGTGGGGGGAGACATGTATTTATTCAAAGCTCGACTTCTCACCACTCTCACTCTCCAAGTTTCATCGAAATTTGCACTTCAATGGTTGATGCAAAAAAATCTTGGCAAAATGTGACCAATATATATTTATATTTAATATGGACCAATAATGGGTCACTAGATTATGGTAAAGTTCGGACCATTTCTTACTTTAGACTCATTGAATAATTAGTGATTGGTTATGCTGTTTTCATTGGAGTCAATCATATACAGAGCACACGTCTTAAAGCCGGTATTACACTGGATCGACATCAGTCGATCGACATGTTGATTCGACATCTGCTACCGAATTCCGTTCGACTTTCGTGTCGATTTTACTTGTCGATCGACAGAAATCCTGATCGGCAAAAAGTCGGTAAACATCAAAGGAAACTGAATCGACAACCGAACGGTAGCCGGTATGCGTAGGCGGTAAAATAATTATTTAGGTACAATGACTGTTTTTTATTATTGACAAATAGAACAATTTTAGGCGTAGTTAGAATTTTTATCAGGGGGGCAACCTGCAAGTGTGTTTTTGAATTTTTACCCCAATTTAAAATTTAGTTTGCCCTCCCCCCCCCTTGGATACTCCGTTGGTAAATAGTAAATTGTGACCAGCTACAATGTTTACAACTACAATGGATTTATAAAAAAAATACTGTTGATGGATCATTAATTTTTCGGAAAATAGTGCCTATTTAAATGTATCAATTCATATTTAATAATTTTCTTAACAATATTTAATTTAATTTTAAAAATTTAAACATAGGTACTTAAAATTATCAAAATACCTAAGCCGCTTTAATTACATTTCTATTATTATATTGATTAATATTTACTAGTCACAATATTTATTAATACCTACATTATTATTTACATTTAATAATAATGTAATTAAATAGGTACCTATTTACTATTATAAGCTACTTCTTCCACTTCACCATTCTCTCCTAACTATATTTATAATTTTAACTATTTATATAGAGTGTAATTTACTCTGCTATTTTGGTTTATTGTAAAAATACATATCCAAATATCCAAACGGAAATAATCTATAAGAATGTTCTGAAGTCAGTTGATATTGTTCTTCAATACAGTCCGTACGTTGTAGGTACTAGCTTTTGTTTTAACGTATGCGCATTTTTAAGTTTTTACATTTTTTTGATTTAAAATGGCAACATCTGAGTGCAGTGAAAAGTGGAGCAATGTAAATACATGTATTTTTATTGACTTGTACAAGGAAAGACCGTACCTTTGGAACCCAAAACATTTACAATATAAAAATAAGTTGATTAGATTTGATGGTTTGACCGAAATTGGAAATATTATGAAAATATCAGTCGAGGAATGCGAAAAGAAAATTAAAAATCTTCTTAGTCAATATGCCAGAGAGAAAAAAAAAAATCAAGAAAACAAAAAGTCCGGCGCAGGTGCTAGTACTGCTAAAAACATTTGGTTTGCATATGAACAAATGCATTTTCTTCAGGATAGGAATAAACCAATGCACACAAGGGATACAGGAGAAGAAGAGACCACGAGTGCAGTATTAGTAAGTATATTTTAATATTATATTATTATTAAATATTATATTTATTATATTTAATAATATTATATTTATTTTATTTATTTATATTATATTATATATTTATATTATTATATTATTTAATATTATAATATATACATTTATATTCGTAACTAATATAAATAATACAAATAAAACAAATAATATTTTATAATATTCAAGTATAATTTTACTTACGATAGGTACAAATTTTAAATATATAATTAGGTAGGCGTACTAAAAATATAAATAAAAATTAGTTGCAAAAATCTTGCCAATCAACTCGTCCTATGTCTGATACATAATACAATTTAAATTCTTCACGTATTTCTTGTACTTCTATAGCAGATTTTCGTGGGATTTGGGGCAAATTTCGGAATGATGACATTCCTACTAGTTGTTGTCTCCAAGATCCTGGATTTAAAATTCCTGTGTCCATATCTTCGACATCAAAACTACCACTTGGACAATATACATGTTTTGAGTTCTTGCTACTTCTTAAATAATTATGTAGGTAAATGCATGCCATTGTAGCAGACTCGGCTTTTTTTGGTTCCAATAACATAGGTTTTCTAAAAATTCTAAATACAGAAGACAGAATACCAAATGCATTTTCTACAACTCGACGCCCTCTACTTAGTCGATAATTGTGTATTCTTTCCGGTGATCCTTTCTGGTTAAGTCCAGGATAAGGCTTCATCATATTTTTTCCAAGTGGAAATGCATTATCTGCGAGAAATACAAACGGAACAGGTTTTACTCTTCCGGGTAATGGACACTCAGAAGGGACATTTAATAAGTTATTAGTCATCATGTAATTGAATTTGGTGTCCCCGAAAACACCACCATCCGAAATTCTTCCCTGAGCCCCAACACTAGCCCAAATAAAATTGTAATTTGCATCTACACATGCCATTAAAACAATACTATGGAATGACTTATAGTTGAAATATTCTGTGCCGGAATTTATAGGTGCTTGGAGAGAAATGTGTTTACCATCCCACGCTCCAATACAATTAGGAACATTCCATTTCGAAAAAAAATGTTCTGCTATATTCAACCATTCATCTGTAGTAGTAGGTGTCTAAAAACCAAAAAATCAAAACGCATTTGTTATTTTTTGAAATATTTCAATACACTAAATGATTTTCAATATTATAGTTGACGTACCAACAATACTTTTTATAAGTTCAATAATAAATAATAATTATAATAAAAACCCATTATACTGACATTTAATTTAAATTTATATTTATATAAAAAAATAATTTTAAAATGTCATTGTGTGTATAAAATATAATAATATACCTACTAAACTTTTAACTAATTTAACTTAAGTACCCACGACTAATATTTTTAAAATTACAACAAAATAACTAAAATCGTTATTTTTGGTTTTAATATGTAATTTCGTCCAAATTTGAATTTTAAGCGTCTGTAAAATATAACTGGGTTTGTATATTTTTTTAGATATTTTGGTTACAGTATGAACTATTTATGTGAATCCTTGTTTTAATTTTTTAAATTCTTATCTATAAAAATAGAACATTTTATACATTTTTAATTACAAAAGAATTTGAAAATTTTCGAAATTTTTGTAAATATTGTCAACATTTTAATTTTAAATACTTATACATTTTATAAGCATTTTAACTGTCTCAAAAGGTAATGACTGATGACAGACACAAAAAAAAAATTTTTAATTTAAAAAAAAAAAGATTATTTTTAATCAATACATTTATCGCTCCTCTCCGAATCTAGGTATACATTATTTTATTGGTTTTAGATTTCTGCGGAGTGATGAATTTATTGCTATTACAATGATGTGTGTTGACTGTTGATATTATAATAATATATTAAATAAACGTTAACTATGCTGTTTTGTCGTCAGAAATTAACTCGATGTATTAATGTCTATTAGTTAGAGTTTTTAAAAAATAATAGCATGACTATTTATAATATAAATGCATATCTTGCATTTTTCTATAAAAACTGAGAAAAGTTACAACAAAAAGAAAATTAAAAATTTTTATAATTCAGATTCTAAATCTATTGTTTTCATATTTGTTTAACAATCTTTAAAAATATAACGTATTTATTAATGTTAAGTATTATACATGCCTTAATAGTATTACAATTTTATAGTCTGAATCCTTAACCTATTTATTTTATTCACATTTGTTCAATTATAATTTTAATGTACCTAATTTAAAATAATTTAACGTAGTTGTTTATGTTATATTTATTTGATTTAAGGATATATGATGATATTTTTTCTAGCCTATTTGCATGCAATTTTCGAAAAACTTATTGTACCTACAGTACATTAGTACCCACTTGTCCAAAATGTTTATATTTTTTTTTATAATTCCTTGTTATTTGTACAATTTTTAAAGGAAATATCCCAAGACTCTTTTAACACTGCAGAGCTTAATTCATCAATACCTACAGAACCCGTAATAAGCAGTGAAATTTCATCTCCAATACAAAAGCCTAATAACTCTGGAAAAAAAAAAAAAAATAGTTCCGAAAACGAGGTAATGAGAAAAAGAGCTTTCCATATTCTCGAAGATGTATACCAAAATCGTGGAGTAAAAGATGAATTTACTCTTCTCGGTGATGAAGTTGCAATGCAGGTCAGAACTCTTACATCATCCTATGCTCGCTCTACTGTGAAGTTCAAAATACAATCACTTCTGTATGAAGCGAGATTGGGGTATTACGATGAACCTCAAGTTCATTATCAAGGTAATCAGTGGTTAATATAAATTAATTTGAATTTTATGAATTACGTAATTATATTATTTAGGTTTTGAAAATTCAACACCACAACAAGGTATTCAAACAACAACTCAATCATCTCAACTGTACAACCAAAACTGGGAACAAGTTTTAAGAGCTGATTCTCAAAATGAAGATGCAAGCACAAGCCAAATTACAAATCTTTAATATTAGTTTTCAATTATATAATTAATTTTTATAATTCCTACACAGACTACTTTTAATTTCTAAAAATAAAAATTTTCAAATGTTGTTACTTTTAGTATTATTTTATTAAAAATGTAAATAATTTATAACTTACCTTAATGTTATGTTTCAATGATGAAATTAATGCTTCACACACTTCAGGTACTATGAATGAGATGGACGGTTGTGATATTTTAAATAAATAAGATAGGTCCATGAACGAATCGCCCGATGCTAAAAAACGAAGAGTAACTGCTAACCTCTCATTTATGGATATAGGTACTCGAAAATTTGTGTTCTGGCGTTTTATTTTAGGTCCGATCATTTTTAAAATATCTTCAAAATCGGTACATGTCATCCGTAGAAAATTTTGAAACGTGCTACGAATACCTTCTCCTGGACCAAAACCTATCAAGTCATCCTGGATGTAGTCTGCAAGCATTCGATTTCCATTATATTTGCTTCTATCTAAACTTGGTCTTACCCAAACTCGTCGTTTTTTTTGTGGTTCGTCTTCACTAACTAAAATAAAAGCTGCTGCTGCTAAAATAATATCTTCATCAGTAGACATTATTTTGAAAATTACTAAAAAATATTCACACTAATAATAAATTGATAAATTAATTAAATAAATTGAACTACACTACACGACGGACGAAGTTCAACTGATGATTTGGGTGCGGGAAAATAAATAAATTTGTTTTTATAAATGTCGAACGTAAAATGTCGAACGTATGTAATAATAAATCTACAAATCGACAACACGTTCGACACGACACAGTATATTGTCGATCGACTAATGTCGATCCAGTGTAATACCGGCTTTGTTATAAATGTATAATATACAATAACAATATTATGTCAATATAGTATAGTTTGTTAATCATAACAGATCACGTTCCTAAACAAAAAACAAATGTGTGTCATACATTTTTTAAGTGTAAGACTTTTAAAAATAAAATATAAATTCATGTATTTTCATGTATGTAAATTCTCTGGATGTTACTAAATTACACAAATAGATTTTAATGTATACATTTTATTTGTATTTATTATTATCATACCGGTATCGTTTGTAAAACCTATTGATCTATTGTCAAAAATCTGTTATCATCAGACTCACTAAATAATCATTTAGTTTATGACTTTAAAAAATATATTACAATTTCGGCAGCATAAAACTTAATTTTGTAAAAATAATAGAGTTCTGTGTACATTGTACAGTAGTGGATTTACGTGCAGTGCCATTAATAATTAAATAACTAAATTACTAAAAAGTACTGAACAAGAGCTTTTGGGGGTGGCATATTTACGATATATTTTTATATTGTTTACCCTCAATTAATAATGCCACATAAGTATACGTTGGGGCGCTAACTGTTTTAGTGGGAACAGAATTAAAAGTGAATTTTCACAGGTTTTAGCTCGACTCACGCATCAGCCATCGTCAAGTGCGTTTATAAAAATTACTTAATGGTAACATTAAGGCTAAAAAACCATGGAAGTACTACCCTATTATAAGCAGCTGGTTGGATATAAATAAAAATCGTGCAATTTCAGATATAACGAGGAATACAAATTACGATTATATGAACGATTAAACTAATTAACTAGTTAGAAAAACAGTTTATAAAAAATCAGTTGGTTGTGAACTTATAATAAATTATTATTTTAAAACAAATTCTAATTTTTGTTATGAGACAAACTTTAGAACAAAATATATTAATTTAAAAATTAGATATATGTTAAATTATTAGGTATGTTTACCTATAGTCATTTTGATGAATATTGATTGAATATTTAAAAATATGAATTTCGGCATTAAAATTGTTATTATTAAGAATTCAATCAACATTATAAAACACTAAATTATATTTATACTTCTATAACATAAATAATTATTATTTTTGTAAACTATAATAGCATAGTTGAAGCTGTATCATAAATAAAATATAAAATAAAATATTACATGCAAAAATATCATAATTAACATAAAAATTTAATTTTATAAAATGAGAGCTTTAGACCTATTTACT